TTTTTTCCCTTTTTTTTTTTTTTTTTTTTTTTTTTTTTTTTTTTGCAGCTTTTCGCTTAATTGCCTATGCTTATAATTCGGAGACAAAAAAATGCCTAACCAAACAAAGCTTTTCTATTTTTCTTTACCTATCTGCTGGTTTTACCGTGTCAACTTACTAATCGAATTGTAAGCAGTTGCCAATTGCAGATTATTAAATGAAAAATTTTACACATAAAATTTCAACCTTTCATGCATTTGAACAATTTATCTGATTAAGAATTAAAAAAAAAATAAAAAAATAAAAAGTTGAGCACTCCACTTGAAGTAAAGAAGGAACAAGAAAGAGTAGATTGTCAAGCATGTAATATAAAAAGATTGAAATGTGCATCCTAATAAATTGATTTGGAAGGAATAGTTTACCTCTAGTAGAAAAGCTTTCCTCTTCAAACTCTATTTTCTTCTTGTTCCTATTCTTGTTCCTATTCTTGTTCTACTTCCTTTGGATTGTTTTTTTTGATTTTTTTTTTGGAAAGTAGATCTGGTATAAAGATATGGTGGCCCTGAAATTAGTGGTTTTCGTTGTTTCAGCATTATTGCTTGGTCTCACTGAAGCCGAAAACAATTTTAAAATCTACCATGCAGATGAGTTCCCAGTTCAAGCCTGTACTGGGCTCTTGGGCAAAACTGCTAAATTTGATGAAAGCAAAAAGCCAACCTATTGTCTGGCTAAAAATCAACCTGCTTTAGGAACAATGGCTGAGTGTATTGAACGGTTAGCCAAGACAAGAAATAAAAACTCAAGAAGGTTGTTTCTCAAGAGTTGTAAAAAGCAAAACTTGACTGAAGAGAAATACCTTGACGCTTTTGCCAATGCTACTGAATTTGGATTTGTTAACGTTACTCAAGATAAAAGTTTTAATAAAACTAAACCATACTATAAGCCAATTTATTTGCTGCCAAAAAAGATAGACGCTGCATACGACGCTGTTGCTACGAGATGGTACAATTACAATTATGCACACTGGTTTGGTATTTCCCTAATGTGTTACTGGATTGGAGTAGTATTGTTTGCAGGAGTTGTCAATTTGCTTTCATTTATTTGTCCAAATTTTATCAAGTCGTTAAAAGGAAGAGCAGTTAACACATTCCGTAGTTGGATCACACTTCCTGCATTGTTCAACAAAACACATGCTCATCATAAGACCTTTTTCAAACATGTTCACGTGATGTTTCCCACGAGATTGGAGTCATTTATAATGTTTGGATGGTTTGTAATGGCCTTGGTTATGTCGTGTACAAACTATCATCATGTCAAACCAAACTACATTTGGCCTCAAGAATGGAATGAAATGGGTAGGAAAATCGGTGACCGAACTGGTATAATGGTGTTGTGGTGTATGCCTGTACTAGTATTGTTTGCCGGTAGAAATAACTTTTTGCAATGGATCAGTGGTTGGCCACAAGCAAGATTTCTTTACTTCCACAAATGGGTTTCCGCAAATGTGTTCCTCCTTTCAATTGTGCATAGTGTTGGTATGACTTTTAATGGTAGAGGTATTGGCAAATATGGTTCGAGAATGGCTAAACCTTATGTTAGATGGGGTGTTGTCAGCATGGTCATCTTTGGGATCATGTGTGTTCAAGCATTGGCTGCTTTTCGAAGAAACAACTATGAGTTATTCTTATTGGCGCATATTATATTGGCGGCATTTTCCATAGCTGGATTATGGATCCATACCTCGGACCAAGGACTTGCTATGTGGATGTATGGAGCTGTTTCCGTATGGGTATTTGATAGAGCAGTACGCATTGCAAGACTATTTGTTTTTGGATTGCGTAAAGCTCAAGTCGAATTGATTGCAAATGAAACTTTAAAAGTCACGGTCAAAAGACCTGCTCATTGGATTCCATTTCCCGGATGCCATGCTTTTATATACTTTATGAGACCAACATGTTTTTGGCAGTCGCATCCATTCACCGTTGTTGATTCAGTTGAGCAAGATTGCACCATTACTTTTTATTTAAAAGTTAAGGGTGGTATGACTCACGGTTTATATCAATACTTGTCCAAACAACCAGGTCAAAAAGCGCACATAAATGTATCGGTTGAAGGGCCATATGGTAATCCAATGCCTATCAACAGGTATGAGTCTGGCCTTTTCATTGCAGGGGGAAATGGTATTCCGGGTATTTATTATGAAGCCACTTCGATTGCCAAAAAAATGGGCTCAAAGAGAAATATCAAATTGATATGGGTTATCCGTCATTATCGTTCATTAGAATGGTTCTACCCAGAATTACAGAAATTGGAAAGCTTACCTATAGAAACTACTATTTATGTCACGCAACCACATGTTGGTTTAGTTGAACCAATCGTGACTAATAATACAGATGATGAAGTAGGACAAGAAGAAGAACAAGAAAAGAAATCAGATAGCGAAGAGAGTCTGGAATACATTGCCAAATCTAAAAAAGATTTGACACATATTGAATTCATTGAAACGAGACCAGATCTTTATGCCATTGTTGGTGAGGAGATAAGCGCAACTGCTACACCTTTGGCAATTGCAAGTTGTGCTCATGGTAATATGGTTGACGATATTCGAAAATCTGTTTGTGACCATTTGAACAACTCTACTCATAGAATTGAATTGTTTGAACAGGTACAAACTTGGTAATAAACCAAATATTTATATAACTTGTTATAGATTTCATATTTCGGGCCAATGCAAGAAATATTCTTATAGAGCCAATGGAAGAAATTCCAATAGAGCAAACGTTGGCTTTTGAAGCACATCTTTGGTGGACATTTTTATAGACATAAACTACCATTTTTTAGATATATTTGTGTCAATGTACAAAATCGAGCGAAGCGAGATGGTAGAGCAGCACTGACTATACCAAAACTAGCAGCACTACCGCGACACTACCGCGACACTATTGAGCGAATTGCAGCATAAAACTGACTATACATCTATTCGTTAACTAGTAATTTTTTGAAATATTACTAGTAATTGTCAAATACACACCTAAACTGTATTATACCTAAATTGTATTATACCTAAACTGTATTATACCTAAGCTGTATTATACCTAAGCTGTATTATACCTAAGCTGTATTATACCTAAACTGTATTAGTGATTGTCAAACACATTTTTTTTTCTTTTTTTTTATTTTCTTAGTTATTTTGCTTTTACTCAACTCTATATAGATAGTGGATGACATTGATCGAGTATAGGTAATATCCAAGCAAAAATCTTTAGGTTGTCCTTCTGAAAAGGGAGGACAACCTAAAGGTGGTGTTGAATTAGGTCCTGAATATATTCTCAGTGCTGCTCCACTATCGAGTAACACTTTGTAGCTTGCTACAACACTATCGAGTAACGCTTTGCAGCTTGCTACAACACTATCGAGCAGAGCGAGATAGTGTTGTTCGATAGTGTTGTTCAATAGTGGAGTAACACTTTGTAGCTTGTTACAACACTATCTCGCTCTGCTCGATAGTGTTGTTCAATAGTGGAGTAACACTTTGTAGCTTGTTACAACACTATCTCGCTCTGCTCGATAGTGTTGTTCAATAGTGGAATAACACTTTGTAGCTTGTTACAACACTATCTCGCTCTGCTCGATAGTGTTGCTCGATAGTGCTGGTCGATAGTGTTGGTCGATAGTGTTGGTGTCATTCTTCACACGACAACAACCTTGCATGAAAACGATCTTTTTGTTTTGTTTTTTAAAAAAAAGAAATACCACCTCAATTCATATTGGGTTCCCCTTTGCCCAAGAAAAAACAAGACAGATTTGTCTAGCCGAAATGGACCTTTATTAAGCAGGGATAACTAAAGGGGAGGTAAATTAAGCGGTTTCCAATCATACATAGATCATCCCCAAAATTCAATAGCTTTATATAGCTCTACTTTATACCTATAGCTCTACTTTATTACAACTACTTTCTACTTTATTAGCTATGGATTCTTTGGATAAAATACAATCCCTTTAGGTGTTTCGCGTTATAGGAGCATTCTAAGCCGCGACATTTTCAAACTCTTTTATTTACAACGCGTAAATATTATGAGAAAATAAGCAGTTACCGCCTCTATTATTTTTTTTCCTAGTAAACCATTTTAGCGTTTTAGAGCGCACTCTCATAATAAAAAGATTAAACGAACACGAAATAAACTTAGTTCTATTACTAAGTCCCCTCCTCTAAACTCAAAAACAGAATGGCCTATAATATCAGTATAGGCCATTTCTTTTCTGGAGATGGGGCCGGAAAATAGACAAATAGGCTTATTACTATTATTATTATTATTATTAACTTTTTTTTTTTTTTTTATATTTTAGAGAGAGAAACTTGGGGGAAGAAAAATTGTTATTTTAATAGGACAATACGTGGGTGTTATTAAATGCGTTTTATTAGTGCGCCTTAATAATGGCATCTCGTTAATTGAATATTATACATTGTAGATATTGTTTCATTTGAATCGTCCTTTATTATCACCGTTTTCTCTTTTCTTTTTCTTTCAGTTTCCCAAGCACTCGGTCCCTAGCCCCAAAAGATCAACACACGGGGTTTTCCTCTCTTCCTCACCCCCCCCCTCCCCTTCGCAAGTCGAACAAATATATCACAGTACCACACACACACACACACACACTTAAAATAACCCTGGCGAGATCACTCCGAGTAGAACAACTTGAATTTTTTTTTCCGCTTCTGTTGAGCTTATATAGTTTACGAATATTTTCACTTGTATTCGACGAAACTAACCGAGCTTCTGAGCTTCCCTTAAATGCCATCCAGTTTTTAGGATCCTTCAAATTTAACTATAGTCACTCGTTAACAGAGAAAAGCACTCAGCTCTCTCTCTAAACCCATACACAAATTTTCACATATACAACCCAACACATAGGTTCATAGATTCTATATACACTTTTTTTTCCTATAATGATTTCCTTTCTAGAAGAAAGGTCTACTCCAACCTCGCAGGATATTGAACAAAGATCTTCAACAACCACAGACACAAATGAATCCTCCTCCTCCAGCTCCGACTATTGTCATAGAAACCCCAATTCAGCCGAATGCGAAAAACCCGTCAATAGTAATAGTCTTATAATAGGCTTGTGTATTGCTTTACCGTGTTTCGCAATATTTTGCGTATTGGGTTTCTTCCTTTACCGAAATTATCGAAAGGATAAAAAGGAAAGCTTGGAACACGATCCCGATTTCGACGAAAATGGCGAAGCTACTGCATTACCCGATTATCCGGGAATTAGAGGTGTACAAGAAAACCCATTCCATAGTAGAAACTCAATTAGGTACCCAATGGAACAAATCGAGAAGGGATATACAGGTGACAGTGGTGGTGGTGGCGGCTATGAAAAGGGAGAATTTCAGTATTACCAATATTCAAGACAAGAGCCGCCTTATGTGGATAGTGTAGTATTACCCTACCAACATCAATCAAGCTCAAAGTTGTCTTTGGACGATTATGCAAGACAATTGGGTGATCCGCTGGTGAGGCCTAGAACCAGAACAAGTTCATTGCATATGGAGAAAATGCCATATTCTCAATCTAGAGTACCATCATCCCAAAATAGCCCTACAAAGAAAGTTCAAGGTAGACAATATACCGGTGTGCCTAATGTGTCTAACGTAGCTTTGGAGGAAAACTTACATGACGCTTCTCATATAACGGAGATGCTGGATGAGAGTGATAGTATTGAAAACCAGCCACGGCAACGGGATTTTGGTGTTACATATGAAAATGAATCGGATGTGTCCATAAACAAAACAATTCCCCAGATTGTCGTAAGCGAAGAAGATAGCAGCAGCCAACCACAAGATACTACTACTGAATCTCAATCTCTATCACCGTTTGATAATGATGAAAATAATCACCAAACAGAAGACACCATGGACGATTCAATATCTCCCAAAACATCACCACTCAAAGATAATGATAATGATGATGCTGCTAATGATGATGATGATGATGATGCTGATAATTTCCAATTCTCAACAAAGAAATCTCGATTCAACTTTGAAGATGTTGCTACCAAACAAGGTACTAAATCACCCAGAATCTCAGCGTTCAATTTGTTAACGAACGATAGTGACAATGAAAATGATGACAATTTGGACCATTTAACACCTCAGCAAGAAGAAGAAATTAAAAGGATGAAATCGGTATATAAAATATACTTTGACAGAGATACAGACAAGGGTAATTCCAAGAATATCCAAGCTGATGAAAATTATTCGTTACCAATGCACAAAATTAATGATAAAATGCATGTAGATGCAAGCTACGGTAATAGATATAGCAATACTTCGTCAGTTTATGTAGACACCGACAGTATTCAACAAGAACAGAACCAGCAACAATACCAACAACGATACCATCAACAACATCAACAACAGCAGCAACGGCAACAAAATTATTATAACCAATTCAACCAACAATACCAACAACAATACGGTACTCCTGTTGATCCTCAATTGTATCAGCAGTATCAACAAAAGCAATATCACTATTTTCAAAGCCAACAGCACAACAACCAACAACAATGGCAATGGCAACAACAACAACAGCAGCAGCAGCAGCCCCTTCAAAGACCCCTACCTCCATTACAGAGATTACCTAACCCCTCAGATCTTAGGAAATCGTCATTACAAACATTTACCGATTTCAAGCAATCCGAGAAAAATCATGTAGTGACATCGCCCCCAACTGGCAAACACCCCTTTGTACCAATTGAAAACGATGCTGTTTGGACATCGCCTGTGAGCTCGCCTAAAACTCAAACCCAAGGAGCTTTTCCTCAACAACAACAACAACAACAACAACAACAACAACATAGCCAGCAAGACCTAACCTCACAACAGTACTATCAAATCCAACTACAACAGAATAAGACTGTACCTTCAGCTACACAACTTGCGAGATCCTCAGTGGTGATGATTAATCCAGTTACAGAGATTACCAAATCGAGAAAATTCAAGCCTGCTGGATCATTACCTAGCTCAAATAATTTGCATCAACAATTTGGATATAGTGATTTGAATGGTCCAGAAAATGACTTGCTACCAGGTAATAGAAAGAGTGATGTAAGAAGAATGATGAATACAAACTTTTAAGAAAGAATGAGTTTGAAGAGAAGAGAGCAAGTGAAGTTCCGAAAGAGTGGTTTCAATTAGTATAAAGGAAACAGATATACAGATATACAAGACTATATAGAGATATATACGACTATATAGAGCCATACAAGACTATATACAGACATATATATATATACATCTTAATCGCAATCAATACAGTAGCATACCACAGAGCAGAGCGAGGTAGTGTTGTAACAAGCTACAAAGTGTTGCTCCACTATCGAGCGACACTATCGAGCGACACCATCTCGCTCTGCTCAATAGTGCTGTAGCAAGCTACTAAGTATTGCTCCACTCAATAGTGTCTACCAAGTATTGATATTCGGTAGCGTGCGGCGTTCTACAGTCACTAAGAGCCTTAACCAACCAAATTGCACCCAAACAAGCGACAAAGAAAAAAAGTGAAAAATTTCAGGCTGAAAACTACCAAGTTAAAAGATATAAGAGAGATCACCATTCGAGAGCAATAACGAAAACAACAGCTCGCAGCGTTATTCTCCAAGCTACTAGGAACCAAAAAAAAAATAGAATGTCGTCAGCACAAACAAGCAGTACACCAGCCTCTACTACGGCTCAAGATATCATACCAACCTCATCACAAAACTTGTTGAATGACAAATGGGACGTAGTGTTATCCAATGCCTTGATAAAGACAGGCTTAGGCTTTGGTGGAGGTGTTTTGATGTCGATATTGTTTTTCAAGAGGAGACAGTTCCCTGTGTGGTTAGGAATCGGGTTCGGGTTAGGAAGAGGGTATTCTGAAGGAGATGCGATTTTTAGATCTAACCACGGATTGAGAACCGTTAAAGCTTGAGACGGCGGAGGGGGGAGGTGAACGAGATATGAGAAAAGAGGATTGCGTTGAGAATGGGAAAACGAGTCATGTGCGGAGAAAGGGGGAACGAGGATACACGGTTTGATTATATTTGTCAAAAATGCACATTACATGACGAAAGGCGGAGATATCATACACATATGAGTGTCTCATCAATTCCACCACCAATTTCCTGAAATTTCAGTAGCTGAAAGCTTGTATATCTTTGTATAGCGTAAAGAGACACTCGATTGAAAATGTGTTTGAATAATTCAAATATAGAACTAACGATGAAAAATAAAAAGTGAGGCGCAGCTGTGCTTGTAGAAATTTCCTAAATGACGTAACTATTGTAGTTGTGCTCGTATACATGATGGCAGTGGCGGTGGTGGTGACTTATCAGTTGATAATCCCGTACACCTACAAACTACAAACGGGTTTGATTGCAAATCCCAAAAAGGAAAAAAAAAAAGAAAAGAAAAGCCGCAATAATCATCACAAACACACTAGTGCTGATTTATCTAGTCCTAAGAGACAATAATGAAGGAGCTTCTACCCCAGATTATCAACGATGATATCGATCTTTACTCTGTTCTAGTCATACCGAAAGATGCAACTTCACTGGAAATACGACGAGCGTATAGAAAGCAAGCACTTGTTCACCATCCGGATAAAAGCACCGATTCTTCTCGCTTCAATTTGATTCTAACGAGCTTTCAAATATTATCCAATAATGCATTACGAAAACAGTACGATACCTTGCAAGAGTTGAGAAACCAAAAACTCGCTAGTCGGGCTCAAGTTAGTGACTTTATCAAAAAATTTCAAAATGATCTACTCGATAAGGAGAAAGAAGCAGGAGAAGGGGCCAGAAAAAACTATACTACTGATATTGATCAGTTGAGAGAAGATGGTATTAAACGAAGAAGAGTATATGAGCAGACAATTCGGTGGAAAAACAAAACTGGCGTGACAAAGACTATCCATGATATACCATTACCGAACATGTTAAGCTCTTTCAAGACATCGACTGAAGGCAAGTTAAGTTACAAGAACAAACCTAATTTGGAAATCACCGAGATGGTGTTGTCAGAGATAATGAGTATTTTTGGGGCTATAAAAAGGGTAGAATTGAAAGGAAACGATAGTAGATATGCATATGCTATAATTGAGTACCAGGATGCATTTGGTTTACAAAATGCTTTAGCTTACGATTACTCGTCAGCCAGGAAATGGGACGGCACAAAAGTGAGAAAATTGGCTAGTTTATTGAGATCATTTGAAAAGTGCAATACTAACTTCAACGGTAATTGGACCGACAATCAGAAAGTAAACAAGATTCTCGATCAATATGTTAGATCCGTATCTGACCAGGTAACGTAATTGAATATTAAAAAAAAAAAAACAAGGTTACCTTGACTTTTCAAAATCTACATTTTTTTTTTTTTTCAATTTTGATCTGCGATCACAATCAAACGGATGAAACAGGACAAACCCATCTCAAATCCGAGGATCACTTTTTGTTTGTCTAGAGGTGGAAGAAACCCACGATGACTGCTTAACTGTGTATTAATCATCTCTCCAATTGATAAGCACTTCATCTGTTCTAAACCTTTGTGTACACACACTGTCATTTAACTCGGTGGTTTGTCCCATCCTATATTGCAACAACCCAGCATGAGCAATCATTATCCCATTATCTATACAAAATCTTTCGTCTGTAGCAAAAATTTGTCCATTTAACCGATCTTGAATCATAAGCTTCATCATCTCCTGTAGCCTTTCATTCGATCCCACACCACCAACTATTAGAACTTGGTTACTGTCAACATGAGCTAAAGCGCGCTCAGTAATCTCAACTAGCATGCTAAATAACACTTCCTGTAATGAAAAACATAAATCTTCTGCTGTGATTAATTCCCCAGTCTCTTTATCTACCAAATTCTTTCTTTGCTTTGTACTAAACATGTCCTTTGCAATACCATCAATAGAAGCCAAGATACCCGACATTGATAAATCCATTCCTTTAACGGTATATGGTAAATTCACTAGATGCTTGCCACGCTTAGCCATTTGCTCAATGTTGTAACCAGGGGCGGGTTCATTTGGAATCTTCAAAGTTCTAGCAAACCGATCGAGACAATTTCCAATAGCAATATCCAAAGTTTCCCCAAATATACGATACCGCTGTTTAGAATAAGCAATGACTTGAGTATTGCCACCACTCACGTACAAAACTACTGGATTCGAAGCGCCGGTGATTTCTCTCCCCATTTCAATATGGCCAACACAATGGTTCACTCCGACTAAAGGTATATCCCATAATTGGGCCAAAGTTCTTGCTGCTATAACAACACTTTGTAAAGGTGCACCCATTCCTGGACCTTGTGTAAAACAAATACAATCAATATCTTCTCCTGAGATCTGTGCAGTAGCAAGTGCCTTCTTGATAACTCGTACTATCCAGTTCCTATGATGTCTTGCAGTATCTCGAGGCAAAAAACCTTCTCCTGGCGGCGTTATATATGTATCTCGTATATTAGATAAAACTTGTGCGCGATTACTTGAAGTTAAGGGACCAGGTAAGTGCTTAATTACACCTACTCCCAACTTGTTAGCTGACCCTTCAAGTCCTAAAGCCACATAGCATGATTTCCCGGGCCGTAAATGCTTGTCTAAGTCTACCACCATACCTCACAATCAATAGCTAACGACCTCCTCTCCCCATAAACTCCTATAGCTCTCTCTCTTGTGCTCATCTCATCTCTTTGAGTTTTTTTCTCCTGCTATTGATGAACTTCCCAAAACGAACGTATATGCGGCTCCACAAAAAGGTAAACAAAAAAAAAGGGCCCCGTCATCGGTCTTTTTTTTTCTTTAAGGCGCGCCGATGGTGAAGATTCAATACATCACATTAGTCAAGTTAATTGGCAGATAAAGTGAGTAATTTTAGTTGATATGTCTCTATTTGACCAGCTTGCTCGTCTAGAACAAGCGACGAGGAATATTGAGTTGTACGAATTTCCCAATGCTCATATGTTTACCAATGCGATAGTAAACCACCCACTGATAACATCTTTATTGAAAGATCCTTCTAATGATGAAAAACATTTGTACAAGATAATCAAAAGTAGAATACCTGGCCAAGTACACGATATACTGAAGATAGAGCGAGTTGATGGTAGAAAAAGGTATATTGAGCATGACTATAACGAGGAAAGTTTTTACGACACAAGCTATGAATCGCAAGAACAAAACCATGAAGATCCAATTACTCGATTACCGACATTACTACCTCCGAGTAACTCTACACAGCAAGTGAATTTGACCCTGAGCTTAAATAATATCGATAATCCTTTACAAAGAATTGAGCGCCTTCTATCAATAATGACAAAGTATCCCAATTTGATTGTAAATTATGATGAAGTAAATACAAAACTTCATCAATATCAACAAGATTACAACATGGTTATCAATGATATCGATGAAATGGAAAATGAGATAGAAGAGTGTAAAAATGTGCTTAAAAATGATTACAAGGTTGCTGTTAGTCCAGTGAAGAAAAGCCGCGAAACGGGATTGCTAAAAAGTGAGTATAATGATTCTCAAGACCAATTGATTGATCTTGATATTTTGATACAAAAGGAAGAAGAAGAAGTGCGCAAATTGGAGCAGGAAATGAATAATTGGCACAACAACTAGACTAAATGAGTAATTGGCACAGCGATCAGACTAAATGAATAATTGGCACAACATTAGACTATATGAATAATTGGCACAACAATTGGGTAATTCTTCTACGTGTCTGTGGCAGCTAGTGTGCTCCACCATCTCGCTCTGCTCGATAGAGTCGATTCCTAAATGGTTGAGAAATGTGAATTTATTACATTATATAGTTCTATACTCATATCCCTAAAATCATAAATAACCTTAGATAGAAGTAAGAATATCAGAATCACCAGCATCCAAAATGGATAAAGTACCAACTCTGAATAATTTACCACAAACGGTACCTAATTCATTGTTACCACCTTGGAAATAGTAAACTGGAGTCTTTGACAACATAGCGTAATATTCCAATTCGGATTTTCTCAAAACTGGGGTATTAGCAGCAATGACAACTAATTTAGCCTTACCTGTTCTTAATGATTTAACAACAGACTTGTAACCCAAGGTGTATTTACCTGACTTGATAGTCAAAGCCAATTTGGCATTAATGTTTTCTTGGTTCTTTGCTGATTTTGGTGCCTAAATTATTACAAATTGGTCAGTATTAAATGTACATTTTTTTTTGAAAAGGGAGGGCTTTCCCCGCCCCCGCCCCTCCGCCATCGTATCAACATTAATCGTTCAAAAATCCTGCAAATCAGTCACATGGGTGAATGCGCCTAAGATTTTGTATTGGATAAAACAAAACTAGCCAAAAAGAATAAAAGCATTTGCCGTGGTAAGACATTAGCTTTCATATTTTCACCAAGCTGATAATAACCAAATAAAAGAAAAGAGGGGAAAAAAACGATTGTTGAGTCAACGATTGAGACGACGAGTGTTGAGTTAATCTAAGTTATACGGACCATCTCTGTGTTTGTTTAATAGTAAATCAATAGTACACTCCGGTCTTGATGTGAAGAAAACAAATAATCTAAAATATCAAATAGTCATACTCGATTGAAAAATTAAATTTTATAATGAAAAACTGAAAGAACTTTGTCGAGAAGAGATGATGTGAAAAGAAAGAAAGAAAGGAAAAAAAAAAATATATCACTATCACGTGACAGGGGCTACAGCCCATGTGTGATTTTTTTCAGCGCTACTAAATTTTTTTTTCAAGTGTCCTCTGTCTGCTGGGTGAAAAAAAAACCTATAGAGATTTTGAAGTTTCAATACTAGTTAGAACCGATAGCTTCTTAGATCAATTAGCCACTTAATAGGTATGTCATATCGAATAGAGTGAACAACGGTGACTGGGACATGTCAGAACAACTTGAGAAAGGGATTAAGAAATGCTATTATGGGAGTGAAGTTATTGATTTTGTTCAAAGAAACCCCATTTAGAGGAAACAGCTTTTTCACATCGAGGAAAGAGCTTTTTTATATCAAGGAAACACCCATTTAGAGGAAGCAGCTTTTTCACATCAAGGAGGTACCTGCTGGGAGGATGTCACGACTAGTTATATGTTGTTTTAAAGTTGAAATCCCACATCAACTCTTTTTCCCCTTTCCCGGACTAACTCTTCCTCCCACTTATTAGTATACTAACAGTTTTTCCCCTTTGCAATATAGAATATGAAGATTGAAGTTGATACCTTTTCAGGTTCCAAGATCTACCCAGGTAGAGGTACCTTGTTTGTTAGAGGAGACTCTAAGATTTTCAGATTCCAATCATCGAAATCTGCCTCCCTTTTCCACCAAAGAAAGAACCCAAGAAGAATTTCATGGACCGTTTTATACAGAAGACACCACAAGAAAGGTATTTCTGAAGAAACTTCTAAAAAGAGAACCAGAAAGACCATTAAACACCAGAGAGCTATTGTTGGTGCTTCATTGGAATTGATCAAAGAAAGAAGAAGTCAAAAACCATCTGACAGGAAAGCTGCTAGAGATTCCAAATTAGCCAAGGACAAAGAAGCTAAGAAAGCCGCAAAAGCCGCTAGAAAAGCTGAAAAGGCCAAGGCTGCTGCTTCAGGTGCTTCAGTTGTTTCAAAACAAGGTGCTAAAGGTTCATTCCAAAAAGTTAAAGCTACTTCTCGTTAAATAGAGTCAATGAAAAAGATTTTGTAAGAATAGTTTTGAAAAGAAGCAAAGAAGATGAAAAAATGAAAATTGAAAAAAAGAAAATAACGAATACAAATCGTGTTGTAATTTAGTCTAATATTTATCTTTACGTGGGGAGAATAAACCTTAAAGTTGAATTAAATATTCACCAAATGTAAAACATCCTTTTTTCTCTCTAAAGCTGAGTATAGCTCTTGAATCGCCGCCAACCTTGTACCCAAAATAAAAGGACTCTGTTGAGTGGCCATAAACTAGAGTAGCTGTTGACTCGTCATACCTCTTGAACACAACAACAAATCCGATATAAAATTTCGGATCGGTTTCAAACAAGACTTTTTCCAAATATTGACCATAATTGGATTTCTCACTGGTATCAAAAACTTCAATAATCAGTGTTGCCAAATGATCTCGAATGATTTGTTCTCCATTTCCTGAACACATACAACAAATCATATAGTCCTGTTCCTCTTTGAAACTGATTGCGGCACCCATAACACCGGCACACCCAATTCTCCCCGGTAGCTTAAAGTAGTTACCACCTGAGGAAGTCACCATTGCCACTTCTGTATCGTTGATCTGGATCAACCCAATAGTATCTGAAACCTCCTGCTCCTTAATATTCGAGGTTGCGTCCTTCTTATAAGCATTAAAAGTATTATAAGATTTTATACTAATCAAGTCGTCGTCGTCGTCCTCATTTATGTCCATATAATTTTTCAAACTAGTACAGTTCAACGATATCGGAGCTACTAGACCATCAAGTTGTCCATATTGCTGATCAATCTCCAGAAATATTCGTGCCATTTCCTCGGTTGGATTACGACATTTTAGCCCGGTTAATGATCCCATCTTCACAGATGGCTTGTTCTCCTCACTTCCATCAGCTGTATACAGAATAAAACTCGCATCGATCTCAACTTTGCCCAACATGTTCAAACTTGAGCCAAATCCAGTATTGGTTAATGCCGAATTTTCAAGTACTTCAGCAGCGTCAATTAATGAATTCTTCAGTAGCGCTTTTTTAATCAAAGTCGCATACTTCTTATTTAAAGATTCATTATGGTTTCCAGCTCCGATATGAAGTATTAACAAATCCTTCATATGATACTTGTAGTCAACTCCGTGTTTGTGCATACTTAATTTTTGAAAATAAATATATATATATATATATATACATATAATGTAATGTAGTTTAACGCGTCTGGAATAGAAGGAAAAGAAAAAAAATATATATATATAAAAAGATAATGAGGTGGTGGCAGGTGAAAAAATTGAACAATATGACTCAAAATTTTGGCCTTATCTTGGGGCAGATGGGGCCTATGGGTCCATGGGCCCATCTGGCGGGGCCAGATTATCAACTTTGTACAATGAAACACAATTCTGTACTAATGGAGGTCAAACGTTAGATCTGCATACCATAATTTGCCCCAACACTGTAGAACAAAAAGCATCACCCCCGTCTCTTTCCCCTAGAGTGTGTTTATGTCCTCTCCCTCTGTCTCCTCTTCCCCATTTTGTATACTATATATATATATTTATTTCATGGGTCTGATTTCCAAATTGCCACTCATATATCCCAAATTTATTTTTTCCCCAGACCCTTTATATTATGATTGATAAAAAGGAATTAGTACTCAGGAAATTCCAACTACAAGGAATGAAAACATCACACGTTTCAACGACTTCCACTTCGTCGTCTTCCACATCCTCGTTATCGAAATTTAGCTCATTTTTAAACAAAACATCAAAAATTTTCCACTTTTCAAAGAGACAACATACAAAACTCGACAGTGGGAAAATCAAACCAGATTCTCAATCAAATATCATAAATGCAAACGATAGAGTCTTCAAGTTCAACTTGTATCCATTCAATGTAGCAAAAAATAATGATCATCTTTATATGGAGGAGAATTATTATAGTATGGTTAGCGCACGTAGTGTATCGAGTTGCAAACGGCTGCGAAAAATTGAATATGTTGTGGTTGCAGAACAATCAAGAAAAGGGTCCTTGTTATATGCGGCACTGAAAACGACCATTGAATCTTCAAGCTCAGCAACACTACAAACAAGTGTTATTTTGGATCAGGATATAGAGAAGGGGAATAATGATAACGTGGAGGACGAACTAAGATCACTAGGGTCAATATCATAACTGGTCCTACCTGTAACCCTTTTTTTATATACAAATGTCGTATAGCGACACGACATTATTTTTTCTTATCATATATTTTTGTTTATATAAGAGATGAACTCAATATATATATATATATACACATACAGACTCGAACAAGATAAGAAAAGAAAAGAAAGGGCAAGACTTTATTCATTCAGAAAATATGCAAAAGATTCTTTTTTTTTTTCACATTTTGAAATAATATTTACCTACTTTCTCATCAAGAGAAGTTATTGCTCTAGAACTTATTACCCAAAAGTTATTGCTCTAGAACTTATTACCCAAAAGTTATTGCTCTAGAAGTTATTACCCTAAAGTTATTGCTCCTTTTTTTTACTTGTTTCATCGCATCCATTATTACTCTCCCTTCGTTCCTCAATCATATCCTTAACCATCTCATCAGGAGTGTGTTGCAAAACACCCACTGCAACCGAGTTTGATCTATAATAAGATGGTCGATTCTCTTGAAATTTCCTTGCTGAAGTTTCAACAATGACTTGATGGTCATTGTCTAGATGTTTCGTAGCATTAGGAAAATGCAGAAAGATTGGTGCCTTGTTATAATGGTTGTTGAATTGGTAGTTATAAATGTGTTGTCGAAACAATTGTTTATGCAAATTGGATTGCTGCTGCTTTAGATTATTCTGACGCGCTTCAATACTCTTTTTGTTACTTTCTTTTAGGTTTTCAATGGATGCAGGCTTAATTGAAAGAGAAGCGGCAGAAGCAGCAGCAGCAGCAGCAACAGGGAGTGATGGTGATAAGACTGCTCTTGCTAAAGGTGGTGGTAGTGATACTGACGGTATGGAGGATACGTTTTTTTCAACCACAGATTTCTGCACCCCCGAATGGGGACTCACTTCCGCGAGTCCACTATTAATGACTTGCGACAGTCTCAGATTATTCGCCACAAGAGTGGCACCAATTAAAGCCAGTGGAACATCTTCAAACTCCGGTGATCCAGCATGGAAAATTACAGGAGCAACATCATCAACCCTTTGCGTGGAGCCAGCCAAGTATGGCAAATGAGAATCATGCGATTTCGCTCTAGTGGCATGCGATAAAAATGGTGGTCTATTTGCAGGTGCAATCTTTGAACGGAATGCAAGTGTTAAATCTTCTTCATCCGATTCCTCATCTTCTTCTTCATCATCAATAATATTCCCTGACTTTTTGTTTGAAAAAGATGGCGATGACGATGATGATGCATTATCTGTCGTGTGCGAGGAGTAGGATTCACAGCTTGAATTTTGAGAGAAAAACTTGGCATTACCTATTTCCGGTGCAATACCATTCTCCGCCTCCTCTTCATCGTTGTTAGTACCTCCTCCTCCTCCTTCTCTTTTACTACTTTTTGCCTTATTGTAGGTGCTACTCATTTGCTCACCCAAATTGAAAGCTCGGAATCTGTCATTGATATCGTTTGTCGGAAAACACTTTCCCAAATCAGCTTCGGAAAAACTAGGTTTTCTTCTTAACATCTGCTTGGCAAAGACCGAATCCGTTCCTCCATTAGCAATCATGTTTTCGTACTCTTTATACTTCATGTTTAGATAGTCATCGTTGATGCTATCTAGTGAGGCAAAGCTTCCTGTGAGTGGCAATGACATGAACGAAGTGTCCAAATGGTCATCAAGATCAAGATGTTTGGCTACTGTTGTATTCAAGAATGGCTCGTTTCTATTGTTACCAGCGTTACCAGTTGGCGAAAGCTGCTCATCTGATTGACCATCAGATCTCCCCATCTGATATTGAATAAGCTCAAAGTTGGGTTTAACAGCAGGAACTGGAATTGGAGTAACAATTGTTTGACTTTCCTTTTGAAAAGGTGGAACTTGCGACTGTGTTTTAACATGATCTTGAGATTGAAAAATACTCTTTGATGTAGTCGCCGCATTGGTTGAACTTACCTCGTTTGAGGTAGAACTCTTATTTGAAGAGTTGAGGTGCACCGAAAACAAACTTGATCTTCTTCTCTTGTCATCTTCTTGTTGGATCCCTTTGAAAGTTTCAAGTACAGATTGATTTTTGAGGTACAAGTTTCCTCCAACATTTCGTTTTGTCTCTATTTGCGGGGCTTCAACTCCACCAGCGCTGCCTCTTCTGCTAGTGCTGGTAGCATTTTGCGAATCAATCATCTCATGTAGTATACTTTTCCCACCTTCTCTTGGTACAGTGAGTGAATATGGATTTTGATATGAAATTGAAGAACTGGAATTGGTAGACACTTGGTGTGAAAGCTGCGAAGGTATATGAGGAGTGTGGTTATGCAACTCGGGAATATTCTTGGTTAATGTAGTAGTTGAGGAATCATTAACTACTGGTAACAGTAATGGTAATGGTAATGGCAATGGCGAAGCTGAAGCTGTGATTGGTTGTTCTGACAAAATCACCGAGTAATTATTTTGTAATCGGTTAAGTTTAATAGCCGAGTTAAAGTTTGAATAACTACTTGAAGACTCGTCGCTTGATTCACTTTTCGAAAGCTCGAGCTGCATCGCATGAAACTTACTTTTGATTTCAGAATCTTTTAATCCGCCTGCTTTGATAGCTTTAACTAAGTTGCGTTTGATTCTAGTACCAACTCCAATTACGGCATTATCTATTTCGTTTTTGGAGACTATATCGTGATCCTCTAAATTGAAATCAAGTGGTGTTTCATAACCATTTGTACTATTGAGATTAAACAAATCATATAGTGATTCCATGTCATCGTCCAAGTCCATCAATGTAAATGGATGCTCCTTAATCTCCTTGATTGTAATTCTTTCTTGACTGTTTTTGCGCAACATTTTGCTCACTAAATCTTTTGCTAGTTCAAATTCTTCTTCATGGACTGAACTAGGTGAATTAAATTCACTGATACTTTTGGGAAATTCCAATGGTTTATTAACAATTACACTGAATAATTCATACTCAGTATCAGCATTAAACGGGACCTTACCGAATAAAAGACAATACAACGTTACACCTAAAGCCCAAATATCTATTCTTTTATCAATTTTGGGTGATTTTGGGACCCGGTCATCGTTACTCTCACCATCACCTTCGCCTCCACTTTCACCAGTGTCTAGTTGACACAATTCGGGCGCGAAAAAAGCTGGCGTGCCTGCGGTTTTGGCTAAATCCAACTCGTTGACTAAATGACCTTCTTCGCACTCACTGAGTGATGAAGCAAAAGAAACTCCAAAGTCACTGATTTTCACCACATTATCAGAAGAAACTAATAAATTTGCCGGTTTGATATCGCGGTGGACTACCCCTTGCATATGGAGGTACTCCAAACCGAGTAAGACATCTCTAAAGATTTTTCTCGATTGCCTAAACGTTAGGTTAGGCGAAAATTCATTTGATAGCAAATCCTCATCGTTATTGGAGGACAAGCGATGATGTGGCTGGCGAGGACCTCCACCACTTCCGCAACAAGGTATATCTTCTTCACTATTATTATCACCATTACTATTACTGTTGCTATTCGTAGTAGTAGTAGAAGAAGTAATATTATCATCGAAGGAATAAGTCTTTCCCTTGCTCAACAAATCTGATTGTAGTTTTTTCCATTTGATTTCTCCCTTTCCCATATACTCCAAAACCAAGTATATCTTGAGAGAAGTTGCATCATCAAGTACTTCTCTCAAGGACACGATATGCTTATGTTTGCATTTCTTCATTATTGCAATTTCACGTTTTATTTTCCTTTCGTATTCATTGATAAGAGGTGTTTTTGAATCTTTGCGCATCCGAAGTGCAGGTCTTTCCCTTTTAGACTTTCGATTGATGATTTTGATGGCCACTAGTTCATTATTTATCAAATCCTTTGCTAATTTGACTTTCCCATGTTCTCCTCTTCCAATTTCCTTTAGTATTTCGTATGTGTTTAAAACTTTCCTTCGAGTTATAGGGTCATATTCTAATAAAACACGAGTTGTTTCCTTTACAGGAGGCGAATAACCTGACTTTGAAGTAGGAGGTTTGGAGTACAAGTTGGTATTTGACTGAGACCGTGACCTTTCTGCTGAATGAAAAAATACGGGAGATATAAACCCATTATTAGAACTAACGCCGCCATATCTGTCAAGTCTCTGCTGCAGCTGTTCCAAAATTGGGCTTTTTAGTCGGGCATTACCGTTATTGTTGTTATTATCGTCATTACTAGTTTGTTCTTGTTCTTGTTGTTGTTGTTGTTCAAAAGTAGAAACATGCAATCCCGGTATTGAAGGAGTAGTGTGTTGAGTATCTACTTGATGCTGCTGGTGCTGATGATGATCATAGTCGAGGATATTGTCATTTGGAGACGAAAAAGGAGAACAAGAACTTGATTCTCGAGTTTTGACACCGTTGGCATTTTTCGTCGAGTCGATAGGATTTTGTGACAATTGTTGGATATTATTATCTTTCATGGTATCCACATGGATGTCTGCATAACAAGGAGGCTGTTGTTTGGTTGTCCCCCGAGGCAAAGGAACCCCTGGATTCTTATTCTCAGCGGATTTGTGGAAAGGATTTAAATGGTTTGAGAAAAGAGGTTGTAGATGGTGAAACAACTGATGACGCTGGATCCCCGAAGCAGTTTCTGTAGTGGAAGTGGAAGTAGTAGTGGTGGTATTATTATTTGTTGTTGTAGTATTGGTAGTAGTTACTGGGGATGTGGATAGTGAAGACATTCAGTAATACTAAGATACCAACGAACAAAGACGATTGAGCCTTTGACACGATAATATGTGGAAAATTTAGGGTAAGTTTAATTATCAACAATAATGAACCAAAGGGTGTTTGCTGCAAACAATGAAATATTTCAAATTTCGACTCAAGCATGTAAAAATAATTTTTACAACAATCAAACTCGAGTGAAATAAATTGTTAGCTTGTGAGGGCAGTTAAAAAGGGTGGGTTGGATTTATATGTAGGTTGGCCGATTGACAAAATTGGCAATTTAGCAATGGAGTTTTACTTGAGATTGCTGTTGTAGTATTTGTTGAAACTGGCAAAAGGTATTTCGTAGTCGGAACTATATTAACCTATCTCTAGTTATATATATCAATCAACAACCGAGATTTACGGTATATCAAGCTAAAAGATTTCTAGTCTATACTTGAAAGTTTATCACTAATATGCTCTAATAGAGTATGAGTTGTAATTCTACTTTGAATCGAGAAACAATTCTTTTTTCTATTAACCTTCACTAGCGATTAACCTTCACTAGGGAGCGAAGCGAGCTAGTGGAGCAACACTGACGATCAAGCTTCACTAGCTCGCTTCGCTTCCTAGTGAAGCAACACTTTGTACCTTGTAGGTGTAAGAGGTAGAGTAAAAGGTAAGTGTAGGTACAAGAGGTGTAGCTAAGTGTAGGTGCAAGGTGTAGCAAAGAGTAGGTGCAAGGTGTAGCAAAGAGTAGGTGCAAGGTGTAGCAAAGAGTAGGTGCAAGGTGTAGCAAAGAGTAGGTGCAAGGTGTAGCAAAGAGTAGGTGCAAGGTGTAGCAAAGAGTAGGTGCAAGGTGTAGCAAAGTGTATATGCAAGAGGTAGCCAAGTGTAGGTACAGCTCCCGAGAGTAGGAGAATACCCTTGTTACAAGTAACCAGTAGGCTAAAGTATAAGTTTTGGCCAAGTTTTTAGCGTTCCTTCTGTTTATGATGGATAGGTGATTCTGAATTTCTTTTTCACAGGTTTTTTTTTAAAGTTTCCAGCTTGAATATTAATCGTCTCTGCTTTACCTTTTTATATAGAAAAAGTCTCACTTTACCTTTAAGAAAGAGGTGGTATTTGCAACAGTATTCTCTGGTTCATTATTGATATAAGGATAAACAATCTTTTCCCGTGGTGAAATCTAATTATCATAATAATTGATGGAGAAATGTATTTGAATAAACCGAGAATCTTGAACTTGTAATTAATACAGATTTTAGTCTTTACTATACTAGCTTTTCTATTCTATACTAGCTCTCTAGCTTTACTAGCTTAAGGAACAAATAGGTAATGTAGGACTACTTTTGCTTCCACTGCGTGAACTATATCCCTTACCTTTGCCATAATCTAATTACTTCTAACACATTCCCTAATCCCTCAAACCCTTTCATAGGATCGTTGTCAAGCAAAAACTTATAAACCAGATAAATTAACGGTTATATTTTGCTTTTATATAGAAAGAGGTTTAAATTTTTAATGCAAAGTTTTAGAAGATATAGACTATGTTAAATATCCCAAAAGGGGTAAAACATATGCACCATCCCTGTTTAATTCTTATATATAGCTCCTCCATATATGCTTTCTCTAGTATACTAGCTCTCTACACTATGCTAGCTTTCTGTATACTAGCTCTCTACACTATTACCTTTCTCTACTATGCTTTTCCCTATCCATTTCTCCTCTACATTTCATGTATATTTTTCTCCTCTACATTTCTCTTTTGTTATCCCCTTTGTTCTCCTTTTTTCTTGTCACTATCAAACAGAGCGAAATAGTGGAGCACTAACTAGCTCATTTCAACACAAACTTTTCTTGTCATACTGTGTTTTCTCGGTAAAACTAGACGTTTTTTGTTGTTACTCACTACTAGCAAAAGATTCCCCAATGATTGTCTTTTGTGTTTTCTACTCTACTCTACCACTGGTTTCCACTCTTTCACTAGTTTCCACTCGACCACCGATTTCTACTCTACCTTCTAATAGCTTTTCAAGTCTATAAAAAAGAAATTGTAATTATATGAGGTATATCAAGTAGTATATTCTAAATTTTAGTATAAATTAGGTAATGTTAATATCAACAATATAAGATATATAATAGATTAACGAAATAGAATCAAGAGTAATCATATTTATATATTAAATACTCTATAATAATTATTAGATATATCTATATTTGATTATTACAACTTGAATGTATTCTTATTTTCCCAATCTCATTAATGTATTATATGCACAGGATATATATGTGATTTATAGTGGGATTATTTAGAAGCATTTATATATAAAATACAATGGGTGAATATATTTATAAATATACACCACTTCAAATTTAACAATATATATATTAGAGATAAGAGAACATAGAATTTTTCCTTGCTGGAGATGCCACTTTGGAAATAAACACAATTTCATCTTTAAAGACTTTGGCTTTAAGTCCTGTTTGTATTAATTTAAGTATGATAGGATCTTTGATTCGAGATTCTATAATGTGCATAAAAACATTATAAACTCATATTAGTTTTTTTCTTTTAATCTAGCTTAATCTTTTTTGTTAGATGTTCTTTGACATATTATGTACTTTATTATGACTATTATATGATATAGATTTTTTGGTATAGAAAGGATATTTATTAAAATAGAATAGTATTTTGCTTTCCTATTCCCGATTTCTACCACTATTTACACCGACACTATCGAGCGAAGCGAGATAATGGAGTAGAAATCAAACCCGTGTGTATAGACTATCGAGCAAAGCGAGATAGCATTATCTACTCTGTCAACCTACACTCTCAATCTACACCCTCAATCTACACCCTCAATCTACACTCTCTATAGACTATATCGCTTTGCTCGATAGTCTTTATCTACGTCTCACAGCAATCTCTTTACTCTTGGCTACTATCATCAGGTTTACATATATCTTACTGTTTATCAATATACTGCATTTTGTATATAATCAATAGAGAAAAGACTAATATAGATATACAGATATCTGTATTACATACGAATCGACATACCCGAAAGGATAAAGATTATGTCATTTTATATATAGTAGTATATTATTAACAATCTATATAAGGATATACCCGTCCAAATACAATAATAAGCTTATTACTAGTAATCACATATATATAATAATAACAGAGATTACTTTTTTATATCTCCGCGTTTATTATATTTTTTTATATCTCCGTTATTTGGCACTATCAAGCGCGACACTATCGAGCGCGACACTGTCGAGCGCGACACTATTGAGCAGAGCGAGATAGTGGAACCCACTAGTTCTCATAAACACTAGCTGTCATCAACACTAGCTGTCATCAACACTAGCTGTCATCAACACTAGCTGTCATCAACACTAGCTGTCATCAACACTAGCTGTCATCAACACTAGCTGTCATAAACACTAGCTGTCATAAACACTAGCTGTCACCACTAGCTGCCCCCGCTAGCTATATGTATTAGTACTTAGTGTCGATAGTGGAGCAACACTTTGTAGCTTAGTCTTTCAACTGAAAAGTGTAGCCAATGTAGAGATAAGTAGAGATAAGTAGGGGCAAGTAGGGCAAGTAGGGCAAGTAGGGCAAGTAGGGGCAAGTAGAGACAAGTAAAGAGACAGTTTAAGATTAGTAGCGAGAGTCAGTAATATGATACTAGTTGTAAGTTTTCTAATTGTAAACTATTAGCAAAAAGAAAGTTGACGTTTCAATTGTACTTGATACTCTAGACTTGTAGAAATAAGTTTATCTAACAAATTTACCAAAAAGAGAGCAAGAGAAAAGAAGCAAGAGAAAGCAATAGTAAAAGAAGAGTAAATAGTAAAAGAAGAGTAAATAGTAAGGGAAAAAGTAAAAGAAGAGTAAAAGTAAATAGTAACATAAAAAAGTAATAGTGAAATAAAAAGGTAATAGTACGATAAAAATGTAAATAGTACGATAAAAATGTAAAAGGCAAAAGCAAAAAAGAAGCCAGTTAAGAGGAAGAGCAATAAGCTAGTTAAAGGAAGATAAAAAGTAAAAGGTTAATAACCTAATATTAGCTCTCGTGGTTGTAAAAAGGTACAAAGTGTTGCTTTACTATCGAGAAGCGAGATATTGTTGGTGGCGGCTAGTGGTGGCAGCTAGTGGTGACAGCTAGTGGTGACAGCTAGTGTGCTCCACTATCTCACTCTGCTCGATAGTGATAGTGTCGCTCTGTCGCTTTTTTGGTTGCAAAACTTTTTTCTTTTTTCTTTTTTCTTTTTTCTTTTTTCTTAAGCGGCTGAACGTTTTAATTTGGTTGTAAAAACCATCTTTAACAACAACTCTTCTTTTAAAGGCTTCTAGGTAAAGGTATCATCATGGAACACCCAGCTATTCACATAGATTTTGAAGATACAGATATTCTACAGCAACTCTCTGGAGATGTCGTTGGAGGCGGTGGCGGCGGTGGTGGTGGCGCCGAAACAGGAGAAATCGATAATGATCCGCACTCTACCGCTGTATCTTCAACATCTTCTTCAAAACACAAAGCTGAAATCGTTGCCATGTATGACCAGTTGAGAAAACACTATGTCGAAGCAAACTACATGGAAATCATGTTTTTATTGCCTCAACTCACTAAATTCAACATGTTCCCTCCTATTTTCAACTTGATTATAGGTTGTTCTCTAATTCATTTTGGTAGAATCTCAAGTGCTTTCAGAGAAATCGGTTTTGCTATATGTATGGCACCAACTGAAAATAAAAAAAAAGAGTTTATAAAAGTTTTGGCCTATACTTATGCCGATCTCAATAAAAAAGAACATGTCATGGGGTGTCTTGGTGAAATTTTGGACATTTCAAGAAATAATTTGGTTACTACAATCGATTTCGATAATATGAAAACAGAAATTTGTAAATTGGAAAAGGAATTGTTACAAAGACTCGAACAGGCACTGGTAAATAACAAGTATGTTAACTAACAAAAAAAGAAAAGAAAAGAAAAGACACCACCTATACTAACATTCTTCTACCCCTTCATCTGCCCCGGCTTTCGTGACTAATGTTTGTACCTAGATTAAACAAGTTTAAATCATTCGATGATCAGATTTTGGATCTACAAACAGTCGATAAAGTGTTCCCAAAGGATTCATTTACCGGTAAATGCCAAATCATAATTAATAAAATTTACCATGCTGATTCAATGTTGGAGAGGTGGAACAAAGAGAGAAAACCGCTAAAAAATAACCCCTTAAAGATATTAGTTGAAGCCATTTTTGTATTTGGTCCAAATATTGCTTACTATCATATGCTCAAAATGGAGCCAATCATGAACCAGTACTTTGAGTTCCTAGTAAATCAAGCATTGATACCTAGACCAAAAGGCAGAATTGTTTCTAGTTTTTTCACGGGGTCGGTATCAACAGTTTCAATCACCTACGCCCAACAAATTAAAACAATTAAAGGTTTCATCGCCATGTTGCGCCACGAATATAAAGAAGCAGCAGACTTGTTTGCAGAGGCAGCGGATATCGATGATAACAATGTTGAATACAAAACAAATGTTGTTTTCCTCAGAACGTATTGCCAAGCCAATGAAACTAATCAATCAAAGAGAGATTTGGAATTTTTGACTTCTAAAATAACCAAAAATCCAATAAAATCGTCTTTGAAATATCATGTATTGGCAAAAGTATACCACCGGTTGCACGATTTAGAAAGGTTCAAATATAGAAAGAGTATCCTCAAGAATTCAGGTCCCTCGTATCGTGACATGGCACTCAAATGTTACTTATCAGCAGCAACCTTGGCAGAAGACGACGACTTATTAATTGGTGAATACTATGACAATATTCTAAACTTTCTTATTGACGAAGACGAAACTCGAAATGGCTTAAACATGAAAGATTTGGCGTTTTTTTATCAAGTTAGAAACTTATTTTGTTTATACTCGGATTACAACTATTTACATATTCCAGGCTTAGTTTGTGATTGGCAAGTTGTTAAACAAAACACAAAACTTTTGAATCAAATTCAGCAGTACATTGAAAGTCGCAATAGCATTAATGAGAACGACGCAGACGGCAATGCATCTGTGTGTGAGCCTTTCGCCACGTCAAAGAAATTTACAACAAGACTGTTTGATCTTGTTAATTATTGGATCAAAGAATATCAAAGGTACAAAGGAAAAATACCCGATGTTGTAAAAAAGTTTTTGTGAAAAAAAATAATAAAAAAAGAAAACAACTGAATATACCAGGAAAGTCAAAGTCAACGTCAGAGTCAACGTCAAAGTCAACGTCAAAGTCAAAGCCACTTTTCACTAGCCTTTGAAAAGTTTGCTAAGCAATGGAGGGAAAGGGAAGGGGGGGGAGGCAAACAAAGAAATCATTTGTCTTTCTACATCGTCTTTTAATCGAAGAAAGGGAATTGTACAAAATGTGCCCCTTTAACCCTTTTTTTTTTAATTTTTTTTTTTATTAGGTTTCTAAAATCCGAGTATTAGAAAAAATCGGTTATCAAGATCTCTTCACTGGTTTACACCATTTTTTTTTTGGCGTTTCCATGTTAGAATATGCAATCAATGATAGGATTTCCACAAAAGATAATCATATTGCTACGATTAGATACATTGGATACATCCCGGAATGGGGCGAAAAAACACTAGCTTATGGGTTAGAATGGGATGATCCCACAAGAGGAAAAAATAATGGCGAATTAAATAGCATTACCTATTTCAGTCCACGAATCCCACAACTGGCCTCTTTTATTAAATCGACAAATAAGAAATTCAATTGGGTCAGGAAATCCTTTGTTCAGGTGATCAAAGAACAGTATCTTGATGTAGATTACAAAAACCGAGAGATACAAATTGGGAATAAACTAGTTGAGGAATTAGGCTGGGACGAATTGAATCGATATTATTCGAATTTGAGTAATTTGAAATCTTTGACTTTAGACCATCAGTTGATCTACAGAGCCTGGGAAACAAAGAAAACAAAGGAAGGAGGAGAAGAAAAAGGAGAAAGAGAGAGGGATTCTATTTTTGAGGGATTGCGAAATTTGGAAAAATTAGATATTAGTTGTAACTTATTTAATGATTTAAGTGAGGTTTACCTAATTATTTCAAAGTTGCCGAAATTAAAAGAGTTGAACTTAAATGGCAATAGATTTTCCTCTTTTGGGGTTCCTAAGAATTTGCAATTTTCAAATTCAAATTCAAATTCAAATTCAAATTCATTTTCATTGACAAGTCTTAAATTAGCATCGACTTTGATTTCTATGGAAACAATTGATGGCATTTTGCAGTTGCTTCCTCATTTAAAGGAGTTAATTTTATCAGGCAATTACTATCGGGATGAAGATTTGATAAAGCTGGATTTGTTATTGACAAAGAAACCATTGGAGAATTTGGACATGTCATATAATACCCTTTGCACTATTCCTAGACTTAACAATGCTGGGAGCTTGAATTTATCGTATAATAAAATAGAAACAGTACCCACAAACATTGAGAAATGGACTAGCATTACCTCATTAGATCTACGATATAACAGAATTTCTCAATGGGAACAGATTGACTCATTATCTCTTGCCTTGCCCAATTTACAAAAACTAAGAATAAACCATAATCCAATTGTTGATGACATTTCAATTGACGAGATGACAATGCAGCTCATTGCAAGATTTCAATGCGGTACGGATAAACTATGCGAGTTGAATGGTTCTAAACTCACCAAAGAGGAAATTGAAAACGCCGAATTGTATTTCATATCTAAAGTGCAATCAGGTGATATTATTTTTGAAAATGAACCACGCTGGAATCAACTATTGGAAAAGTACGGTGAACAGGAAAAAGGAGGAGGAGGGGAAGGTGATGATGATGATGATGATGATGAAAAAAACATTGTCAATTTTAGACCTTGGATTAAATTACGCCTACAAACGGAAAACTCTTTATCTCAATTTCAAACCCAGAGATTTCTTAGATCCACATCTATTCTAAGCTTTATGGGCTTTATATCCAAAACAGTACTCAATAACCTATCCATTCTACATTTCCAGTTGCATTATTACACGAATGAAGAGAGTAATTTCAAGGCAAAACACCCCATTGAGAATTATTCAAGTACACTAAACGATTATTCATTATCAGAGAATCAAAACATCTACATCACCTATAATGTTGGATAAGTATAGCTCAAAATTTTTATTGTTTCCAAACAAGTCATTTTTCTATTCAATTCTCACTGTGGTTCCATAATCCATCACCTAAATAGTGTAATAACTCAATACCAACGCCTTTGTTCTTGCTTTTAATATCATTAATACTCATTGTCAATTTACCTATTGCCAATGCATTTTCTTTCCCCTCTGCATAAACAGTAACAATGGTACCTTCTTCCCAATCCTCTTCCGGTAATTGAGCACCTTTACTAGTCAATCCGGGACACATGATATTTGCACCTCCCAAAATAAATTTAATTGCACCCCGATCTACTTGAACTCGAGGAAACAACTCGGGATATTTATGTACAATCCTCAAAGTAGGAACGATATCGTCAAAATGTTGGAACAACACAATCTCATTAGAAGAGTTAGAATTCGAGTCAGAGTCTTGTTCATTTGCTTGCTTGTTAACTGAATATAACAGAATTTTTCCTTCACATTTGATCAAGATAACTTGCGATTTCTTCGGTATTATATTGTCGATTGCTCCCTCTAGTTTTGGATATGAATTGGTGAAGTTCAGCTTAAGGCCTCTTTGGACAGAGGACTTTATGTTCGACCTTGAATGGATATCCTCTTTTGAGAATTTCTTGAACATGGTTGGTTAAAATCAAATGAACAAGCTTGTGGGTGCCATACAATTTTGAGATGAGATTTCACTTTATTTTTCGCTTCAACTTTTCTTATAAAAAGAATCTCTTTCAAGAAGCAGTGGAAAATCTACTCTAGTTCGAGCAATTACCAAAGTACAGTTATCCTAGAGCTAGACCTAGAGCTAGAGCAAGGGTCACAGAGTCAGAAAGTAAAATGTAAAGATTTATAATTACAATGCCACCATTTGGTTAATTCATACCTCGGGTGTCATCGCACTCAAAGGAAATCTTCTTAATGAAATCAATCTTGCCCATTATTTTCTCTTTAAAACAATATATATATTATGAATACATGTGTGTAAAGGGAAAATATCCAGCTCAAGACTTGGTTATAGACGGTGATAACAAAAAAACTAAATCGAGCGAGGCACAAGGCATATTTAATAGAAATGTGAATTGTATCAATAAAAATGTAAACTTTGTTTCCACCACCGCCATTTCAAAAACAATCAAATTTTAAAGAAATTCTGGTAATGACCACACTAAACCAAACCTTAAAACTGGATTATTAATGAAATGGGGAGGGGGGTGTGATGAAAAGGAAAGGAAATCTCTCAAATCACCAGACGACACTATCGAGCAAAACATAGTGGCAACACTATGTTTGACAAAAGTGCAATATTGTTCACATTAGACAAAGTAACAATATTGTTCACTTTACTCAGTGCGGTACTTGTCAAGAAAAAGGTTCCAAAAATTCTCTCAACGTCGGGATATTACAAGAATAGCCAACATTGAGAAGCTGTCAGGTTTAAAGTTTTCAACCAGCAAAAACATGCTCTCGGACGAATCCTCACTGAAACACGTAATGCCCCTGCATAAAGATGAGGAAGAAAAGAAGAGAAGAAGAGAAGAGAAGAGAAGAAGGTTTATGAAAAATTTGAAAAATGCGAACTTTCGTGGTGGTATTTATACTGCCCCCCCCCCCCCCTAAATATATTAGCCCCCCAATAAGCAA